TAAGACAATGAAACTTATGTATCAGAGGGGTAGCCGTGTTAGTCTGGATCTGTAAAAAGCGACAGAGTCCTGTGGCACCTTCTAGACTAACAGACGTATTGGAGCATAAGCTTTCATGGGTGAATACCCACTTCGTCAGACCCACAAAAGCTTATGCTCCAATATGTCTGTTAGTCTATAAGGTGCCACAGGACTCTGTCACTTTTTACAATGAAACTTGGAAACTATACCTAGGGTGCAGATGAACTCCCCCTCCCCACGTTGCTCCTTCCATTTGTGAAGACAAGCCTCCAGGGGACTTGATTGTATGAGAAGGGATCTCAGCCAAACTGGTTGAAAACACAGGAAAAAAGACCTGAGGTAAGCTATCTTGTAGGGGGTGGGGAATGCCTTGTTAGTTAAGTTTAGGCTTTAGAAAACATATTATGATTTTGCTTTATATGTAACTATTTGTTTCCAATAATCTTACTCTTTCACTTGAATCTCTGTTCCTTGATAATAAACGTATTCTTCTTTCCACTATATCTAAATATCTATTTCTCAATACTGTGTGTTGAGTAGAGTGGTGATCCTGAGTTGAATCTTGCAAGCTGGTGAGTACTGTTCCTTTGGGAATAGCAGATCTGAGAATTCTGAGAGAGGTCAATGGAATGGGCTGGGCACCCCAGAGGGCTGCCCAGAAAACTTGTGGGTTGGTGTGTGCCCATTGCTAGCCCGTACAGAGAGAGTGAGTCCTGCAGAGGCCTGAAAGGCAGTGCTTGCCAGAGGCTGGTGGAGTGGGCCTACGAACTGGCAATTCTGATCCACAGCAGACACCGCTGTTTCATGCTAAGGTCAAGTGGTGGCAAAGTGCCTCAGAACCCTGGGAAAAGTCAATGGTCTGATAGTTCTTGTATCTTCCAGGAGAGACTGGTAGGAATTGCTTGGTGGCTGTTTGCCAGCAATGGAGGGGAGCAGGGGTGGGTAGGGGAAGCATTTGCACAGCTATTAGAGAGGAATATGAGAAATGGGCTCTGACCTGTTGGTATCAGTTACTCTCTAAGGGGGGTATCTGTAATATCTCCAAGGCTGTGAATGGAAAGTTGGCCTGAGGCTGTATTTTAAGACCCCCATCTTCCCCTTGGGTACCCGGAGACACTAATATGTTATGCCTTTTCCTGTGCCTAGGAGAATACCATGAAACAGTCAGATCTGATAAACCAATACAAGAGCCTTGAGCAGATTGAGTTTACTTGGAACATTTTTGTGTGCAACTCCAACAACTTGGATTAAAGCATATTAATTCTTGCACATGATTTCAAGATTCTAAGACAGCTGATGCCTGCTTTAGAACCTTTCTGTCTGAAGAAAGAAATAAGGGGGTGTTTTTTGCACATACAAACTTGCATCAGTTCACAGAAATCCTCTTTTATCTTAGTAGCTGTCCCCAACCTAGGGCGATTTTGGTGCTAAAAAGATTACTTTAAAAATAAAGGGTGAGCAAAATTGCTTGGGAGCAAATGTACTTCAGAAAACATCTCTTCCATAGTCCAATAACTGCACCAACTGTGATGCTTAATTAAACAAGAAAAGCCTCTTTAGTATTGGTATCTGCAAAGGACTCCCCCGAGGCTTGAGCTGAGATGTACAGTGAGTTTTGCAATGCAGCCACTAGGAGCCTATCTTCCCTATAAATTATTACGTAGGCTGATCCCTAGAGTAAACCGCAACCTTTGTAGCCAGGAACAAAAATTTGGGGAGTGAGTCCAGAGTAGTTTTTACAAACATGTCAGCTATCTTGAGTTAATTGGCAGTCAACTGACTGGAAGTTTAAAAACTCTAGAGTATGTGTGCCCCTGAGGTTTGCTTTCCTTCACAGCATGCAAGACTGATGTCGCTCCTACCCGTTATCTAACCTAAACATGCAAGTCAAATTAACGCTATGAAAAGTAAATAAATGTAACTTTTTCATTTTCATTTCTCCCAGAGTGAGACTGACCTAGGAACCAGCTCTTACTGTTTGCTATTTCCCGTGAGTACCATCCAGACCAGTGGATGAGGAAAAAGTAGATTTCTTAACCTGAAATTTCTAGTTCTCATAGTGGGAAGGGCATGCACTGGTCTGGACAAAGCCCCAGTATATGTCCAGATGTTCTTGGTAAAATTAAGTTTGTAGGTGGTTATACTTTTAATTCTGTTAATCCTATTATCTACAGTGGAGGTGATGTTTTCTACCTGGTTTATGTCATTTCAGTTTTGGGAGTCCTGGGAATCAGAGTGTGGTGGTGCAGCATGAGTCTAAACTCAAAGGAGGGAAGTGAGGAAAAATCTAAGCTACTATCTCCATTGTGGCAGAATGGACCCAAGAGCAATGTTCACACCATTAAGAGAAATAAAAATGACAAGTAAGGATACAACTAGCCTCCTCCTGTAATGCTTCTGTTTTAACTGAGGGCAGGTCTACACTACCCGCCTGAATCGGCGGGTAGAAATTGATCTCTCGGGGATCGAATTATCGTGTCTCGTCGGGACGTGACAATCGATCCCCGAATCGACGCTTCTACTCCACCAGCGGAGGAAGGAGTAAGCGCCGTCGACGGGGGAGCCGCGGAGGTCGATTTGCCGCCGTCCTCACAGCGGGGTAAGTCGGCTCCGATATGTCGAATTCAGCTACGCTATTTGCGTATCTTAAATCGACACCCCCCCACCCCCCCCTGTAGTGAGGACGTAGCCTCAGATTCAACATAACGAGAGCATTGCAAGGGCTTTGGAGAAAATCCTGGTCTGTATGTGTTAGATGAGTGAAAAAATTATTCTGCAAATGTAGGCTGGCTCTTGGATAAAAGAGCAGTATGGAGGAAAGGGAAGATTCAAACCAAATTAGGAAGGGATGAGGAGTCTGGGAGAAAAACAATCTGAGGTAGTTTAGCTTGTTACTTGCATGCAAAACCATGCTCTGAAGTGTCCCTAGCCTCTGTTTCCCAGAAACTAGGAATGGGGAACAGGGGATAGATCACTTGATCATTCCTTCTGAAGCACCTGGCATTGGCCAGTCAGAAAGCAGGGTACTGGGCTAGATGGACCTTTGGTCTGACCCAGTCGGGCCGTTCTTATGATGATCTAATGTACTTCGTTAATTGTTTAAGATTTTGAATTATTTAAAGAGGCTGGCTCAGGGGCTTTCATTCCCTCCTCTCCAGCAGCAGCTATAAACAAACTGCATAAGGACCATGTGTCAGGGTGCAGGCCCTGGAAGTCTTGCGTAATCCTGGTAATTTGCTATTGGGGGGGTTGGACCGTTTGTGGAAGCCCTGCCTGGAGAAAGCTGCCACTAACTCAGCAGGGAGATGAACTTGTCAGTCAGCTTCCAGTTCATGTTTGTGGGAGGGTATTAAGGCCAGTATTGGGATGCAGATTACAACAACTATTCTCTTTTCCTCTAAACATACCTTAATCTTAGAGACTAACAAATTTATTAGAGCATAAGCTTTCGTGGGCTACAACCCACTTCTTCGGATGCATAGTGGGTTGTGGCCCACGAAAGCTTATGCTCTAATAAATGTGTTAGTCTCTAAGGTGCCACACGTACTCCTGTTCTTTTTGCGGATACAGACTAACACGGCTGCTACTCTGAAACATACCTTAATCTATTCCTCCCGCTGAGCCTCTTTCCCAGTGAGAGGTGATCGCTCTGGCGGCTTCTTCTCAGCGGTCTGCCCCAGGGGGGCAGGTCCAGGGCAGGGTGCGAGATCCGGCTGAGCCGGAGCGTGATGGCCCCAGTGAGACAGGCCAGGATCTAGGCGGCCCTGCACCCGGGCATGTCGCTAGGTGGGGCCCCTCTCGATGCTGTCCCGTGCTAGGGGGCTGGGGACAGCGAGGCGTTTAGCATCACCCTCCGCCCGGTCCCCGGGCGCTGCAGCGTTATCCCGGCCCCTGAGAGAGGGGGGGGGGGGGGCCGGGACCGTTTGTTTGCTCCCCCCCCCCCCCCCCCGTTTGGCGCGGTGGGGGCCTGGGGGGGGGGCTCTGGTGTATTGGCCCCCCCCCCGTTTGCCCCCCCCCGGGCTGTGCCGCCTTCCTAGGGGGGGTCCGGGGGGGAGCGCCCCAGTCTGAGGGGGGGGCTGGGGGCAGTCATCCAGCCCTGGGGTGCCCGGGGGGGCAGTGCCCGAGGCCTGTCTCCTGCCAGGGCTCCCGGGTCTGGCCCGTCCGCTGCCCGCAGAACGGGGCGGCCCGGCTCCCCGTCAGACCCACCTCCGCCGGAAGCGGCCAAGCGCCGGGGACGGGCAGCCACCTCGGCCAATGGGGTGCGCTAGCGGGGCCGTAACCCCGCCCCGGGGGCGCCGCCGGCCAATGCGGGCGCGGGGGCGGTACTTCCTCTGCCGAGGAGGCGGGGCGGGCAGGTGTTTTGTGTGCGGGGTCCCGGCGGTGGCGGCGCTTCGGGCCTGGCCCGGCCTGGCCTCCGCTCTGCGGCAGCGCCGCCTCCGGCAGCCGGCCGGAGAGCCAGGGGGCGCTCGCCGGCTCCTCGCCCGGCTGGGCCCGGGGCGCTGCCGGGCGTGTCAGGGACTCTTCACGGGGGGGGGCAGGCGGTAGTTTCTAGGGGCCCCGGGGACGCTGACGGGTGTTTCTAGGGGCCCCTGGGGTAAGGGCTGGGGGGTGCTGCCCGCTGTGTCTAGGGCCCCCGGGGGTTGGGACCTGTCGGCAGTTTCTAGGGGCCCCCAGGGACGGGGGGCTGGGACGCTGTCGTCAGTTTCTAGGGGGCCCGGGAGCTGGGACCGTGCCGGGAGTTTCTAGGGGCCCCCGGGGACAGGGGGCTGGGACGCTGTCGGCAGTTTCTAGGGGCCCCGGGAGCTGGGACCGTGCCGGGAGTTTCCAGGGGCCCCCAGGGACAGGGGGCTGGGACGCTGCCGGGAGTTTCTAGGGGTCCCCGGGGACGGGGGGCTGGGACGCTGCCGGGAGTTTC